AAAAAAAAAAAAAAAAAAAAAAAAAAATGGCCATGATCGAGTAGGGGATTATCAAACACCATGGTCCGAGGAACTACGCAGCCTATGTATCTTACCAAGTGACAAGTGACAAATGACCCTGCTCTGTTGCATGTCCACACTAGTTCCATCGGGGTGTATTGCTTCGCTTGGAACCTTGTAGACCGGATGGAGCTGGACAAGTTGGTCTTGGCCCCTTCAATTCCTCGATTATCATCGAATTATGCGACCCAACTTAGTTCTCTGCGCCTGAACCCTGCTTGCGGATTTCGCCTATGTGACTAGCAGAACCTCTCCATTATGGAACGCCCCTTGGTCGGACGCTATCCGTTCTAATTGATTACTATGCAAAATTTGTCCACCTTGGCTAACTGGCTATAAGCTTCCGTCACCGAAGAATATATTAATGATCAGTTATGACCAGTATTGCGTCGTTTGGTGGACACTGATAGGCATATAGTAACATCATTTGAACATCATTGTTATCATCTCTCCTCCTCCTGCTAATCAGGTGAAGAATAATTCGTAGTTAACCCACTGATGAACTGACCAACAACCCAAATTGGAAATAAGCAAAGAGAAAACCGAAGATTTAAGAGTCCTCCATAACATTGATAGACCGATAACGTCGATTTGGAACCAACCGTATGCAGTAGCACCAAGTCGAGGTATGGGGATGATGTTATTCCAGTTTCCATTAATTTCCTTTTCTTTTGTTTTTTCCCATTCGCTATTCTAAGTTCCTGTTCTAACTTTTTCTCTTCCTTTCAAATCTGTTAGTTTCTTAATCCCGTAACTAACGATCTGGACAGACGATCCGAAGTGCGTCAACGAATTCTTGGCTGTTCTGGCAATTCGGACCCACGATCGCAGCCGATTCTCTTGTTCTGGTGTAGTTGAGAGTGGTCGGGAACCATTGGAGTGCAACAAATCAGAAGGTCAACTTCGCATTTCCCCAGTATTTCGGGCTGGTTCTGGGCCAACACGGTGTAATAAATTTCCACCACCAGCCCAGTGTGGGCTCATTTGGTGTTCCAGAACTTCAGACGGAAGTGAGCATCGAAGTGGAGCGGCTGAGCAGATTGGCATTTTTATTATCGTCATCAGCATCATATGCGAATCCCAAATTGTCCAGTGGTCCGTTGAGATCCATCGACGAGGCTGGAAGTGAATCCTTGGGTCGTTTGTCATCCGAGCACGGCGGCGGACATACGGCGATACGAGACGGACAATGGACGCGGCGATCAAAGACGCGCTTGGGCTAAACTCCAGACTATGGCTCTTGGTCTTGCATGGAAGAAAAGCCTAACGAAAGGGGCTGCAGTCGCTGAATGGAGCTTTCTCATACATTGCGTGTGATGGAGCTTTACCGTTTCAACCGACTTATGAGATATTGAGCCTCTCTCAATTTTTTTTTTTCTTTTTCTTTTTTTTGTTCCCGCCTCCTTTTCCTTGTTTCCCATCCATCTAGACTTTCTTTTTTTGGTTGAGAGATCTGCCCGGTATGACCAATTAATTTGTTCCTAAACCGAACACCACACGTAAACCAATCATGATCTATAGATCAAGAGTTATACTGAGCTTCTCTCATGATTATTTGCCTTTTTTTCCGAACCTTTGAAGCGAAGAACCAGAGAAGGGGGGGATTTTCGGTGGCTTCCTGTTACGATGAAATATTGATTTGTCTGTCATGTATCGTCGCGGCAGTAAAGAAGTAGCGACCCCCAGTACGAATGATGATAATAATAAAAATACAAGAAAAAGAAAAAGAAAAAGAAAAAGTAATGAAAGAACAAAATACTACAGTATTTGGAAGGTACGGATCAATTTGCTTGCCACACAACATTGACCGAGGCTTTGGATCCATTTCCTGTCACCGCCACTACTGAAGAACGTAACGTATACGACCATCATCTAATTTAACATTACGGATCAACTGGTTATGGAACCTCTATGCAAGTAGTACACCATCATTCTCCATGACCATCGTGCCACCACAGAACCGCAAGGTTATCGCTGAGTTTGAAAACCGCGACTCGAAATATTGTTGTCCCATCGTTTTCACCCTGATCTCAAATCAACCCATGATAATCAACCCTACTATTGCGATCGTTGTGGTACCCTCCGCACTGTCCACCAAGCGGAATTGAAAATAAAATCTCGTCGTTGATACGGCAGGTCGACCGCTCACGAAAATGAACGAGGGGCCTCTGTAGCATTCTTCACTTCACGATGGAGTATGGAGTACTACACTACCCCTAGTATGCAGCAGCCTGGGCATTGATTCCCCAATGAGCTTGGAATAGTATCCTCCATATGCTCACGATGGAATTTCAACCCGAGGTCGTTTTGGGTATGTCCGCCCGTACTAGTCACGACTACTCCTCTCCTGGGCGCAGAAATGGTGGATTATCCCCTGCTCGAGCGTCTTAACACCCGACCTACAGAAAGTGTGATCATGTCTGACTTTTGAGGTCGATCGAGTGGCCTGGGCGCAAACTAACACCTCTCCCAGCCCGTGAGAGAGGGAAAGAGAGTGTGTATGTACCGGTCGGATCTTGGAAAGTATCCTTCTCCTTGATGCGAGTGAGCAGATCATGGCCATCCAAGGACCGCAAGGCTTGTTCCAGATTTCGCACAATGCACTCAATGCACTCCTTGATGAGATGAAATTTTTTCTGTTTTACGGCACTTGGTTATTTCCATTGAGATTAATTGGTTTAATCTCGTTCACCCGTCACTGCATCATCGGCAGCTGTCTACTGCGAGATTGGAAATGATGCTCGCCGGAGAATTTCTTATCCTTTTTTTTCTTTGCCCCATCACGATACCAATGTGAAGGTGGTGTTTTAGTTGCGCGTGGGTTGTCATAATCCTCAGCGATATGCATCCCCTTGGACTGATCGCGTCACCAGCCTTTCTGATATGAATTGAAATAAGCCATACTACGCAAGGAAACCATAGATTTCCTTTCCTAGGAGCACAATTACTGTGTAGGGATGGGTTGCCTCCTCTTCCAACTTCGGGGCTCCTTGCATTCTTGCAATCCTTGCGGTCCGATACATACAAATAAGCAGCCATTAACTCAGTGTCCTGATGGTGCTTGGACCAGTATTATTATTAGCTGGGGATCATCAAACAAGATCGTGGTGGAGGGCGAGTTGCGATCCATCACACCCATCCCGTGTTAACTCATGCAAGTCTATATTGCAGCGTTAACACCAACTCCCTGGATCGGTTGAAACATGCCTGCGTTCAAGCCTGTGGCCAAGGTTTATGAGTACGGATAGCCTTGCGCTGCCGACCGGTTGTTACGACTCCTCGGGCGACCTCTGCATGTAGTATGTCTGCGCCTTTGCATAACCCCGGAAACTGTAGTGGAGAGCAGGTATTCCCTTGAGGCAGTCAGGAGGTAGCATTCGTCTGAGGGTCGAAGTTCAACCAGGATGGCTGGCCAAATTAGTGTTTACCTCTGCGTTCGTTTCTCAAGAGTAAGTTTTGTCCCGGTTAATATCTGTTGTAGGCACGGACCGTATGGAAGACTATTTCGATTGCAACGGGTGGGGGTGGTCGAAACAAGAGAAAGTCGATATTTCCGACACTCCGACCATCATTATCACAAGTATGTCCGAATTTCGTAATGGTGATGCGAAAAATATAGCGAGCAGATACCGTCTCTTATTTGATTTTCATTTAATTTACACTCTGGAACCGAGGGTAACCTGAATTCCGAGGCCGGAAAGAGGCTTATCGCATTTATCGCGAAGGCGGGGGTGAGAATGAAGGTCCATATTATTCGATGGCTGACGCTGAACGATCATATCAGGGTTACGTCTTTGAGCACAATAAACGGGATATTTTATTATTTTCATTTGAAAAGGTCCTTTTGGCAAGTCACCTACGATATCCACAGATGGTCATCGATGCATTCTGGCTGGGGCGTAAAGTCTCAGATCAGGCTCCACGGCTTTGTTACTTTTTTCGTCCCTTTTTCTTATCCTTCTCTTTCATTTTTTCTTTTTCTTTTTTCATTTTTTTTTTTTTCATTTTTTTTTTTTACGTTCCATCCTTGTCCCGCTTTTGAACGTTTACGTGATAAAGGATACCATACTCTATCTTCCCTGACGGAGGACAGAAGCCCCGAAAGTCAGAGAACTCCAGATGGAGATAAGCGGAGTTTTTGGTCACGATCCTTGATACAGCGTGATACTCACTCTCTTCCCCGCTCTGACCAGTCACATTGTAGGTTTTCACCACACCAGTACCGTCCGACAGAGACCGTCGTAACCGTACCGAACCACCGTTGTATCTCCCAAGCGCCTACGGAGTACTGAGTACAGACTGGAGACCCTAACCTGAACTCTAGGCATCCCCATATCATTTTGGGGGAGGATTGACTGTATCAATTTTGGTCATTACGAATCCTGTCTCACCTCTGGAACCCATCCACCGGTTTGAACTGACATTCAAGTAGGAACCAAATATAGCAATCGACCGTTAACTTGTACACCAGTCAGTCTCCATAATAAAGTCGCGCCACATCTCCAACCTAAGTAACCATCTTCGTAAACAAATCAAGTCATACGTTGTCGTCACATAGCACACAGCGGTTGTGGAGTTGTTGGCCAGGTGTGGTGTGGACTGGCCTGTTTAGTAATGGCTGGTTCTAATTTCCATCGGTCATGAAAACCACGCATTGATGGTGTACAATTTAATACCTACATTCATACTTGAGATACCTTGGTGACCACCGGTTTATTTGGGCATAGGAAATAGCTTCGGTTCCACTAAATTAAAAAAAGGAATATTGAGGGGTTTTCTTTCTCTTTTCTTTTTCTTTTTCCGTTTCGTTTTCACCTTGTCATGAGGGAGTTTTGTATACTTCTTCTGTGCAATGAAGCAATGTGATAAGAATCGGATGCTTAACGGGTCAGTTCTAGTCTGGGTTGGTCGGCTATAACGACAAGTTAATTAATTTATAATAAACAGCTAGGCATCGGTGCTGTTATCTTATTTGCCGTGGCTAGCGTATAATATCTATCTTTGTACAGTCCAAGCCACAGCCATGTACTAAACTAATCCTCTCCTAATCTCCTTCGACTTGGACGATCCTTAGGCGGTTTTCCCTATTTTTCTTTTTCCGCCTGAACTCCCACATCAAAGCGAAAGCCACATGCTGCCCTCGTCCTTTGTTTGGACTTGGGATCCTGAGAGAGGAGAGTGCAGTCTAGAGTTAACGAGCGGTAATAATCCTGCCTGTTATAACCCACTCTGGCAACAATAGTACTCCGTGGATGCAATCCATTCAGCAAGACCAACCTATCCACTTTCTTTTCCTAGGAGTATCTCCGAGATCCCCTCTGTATCGTTCTATTTTATCTTACTCTCTTTTCTTTTTTTTTCTCCTTTTTTCTTTTTTAACTCCCCTCTAATCCAGGGTAAGATCACATTGTCCAGTCACACGCAGAGTTACTCGGGTTTGTGTATGAGCTGTCTTGAGACAGCGGATATCAACTGGTAGCGCGTTAAACCTCATAAGCATACGAGCCCATTTGGGTCAGTAACGCGCAGTAGTCTATCACAGATCAACATAGGACCGGAACCTTAGGTTGCAGGAAGACCTTTTCAGTATTGCTCTCTTGCTGGGGTGAGATGGAGGTCATTCCAACCATGCGAATGACACTTCCGATTCCCCGCGCTGGGCGTCGCGGCTTGTCCCAAAATCCAATATGACCCGAAAGGGGTTAGTGTATCCAATGTCTGAGTCGCGATATTGTTTTCATGTTCATTCATCCATTGTTGTGGTTTGGCCTGCGTGTACATAGAGTCTATCGGTTGATGACGCCCCCGAGTCATTTGGTTTTCCTCCCTTCCACATCTTCATCCTCTCTCTTCTCCATCGAATGGTTGGTGGTGAGGAACTCTTGCGTCTTTCATGTGGCTTACTCAGCCTTCGGATGGAGCTTCCAGCAGCGTCATCACCGCAACTGTTCCACATGATAATGCGACAATGGATGCGCATTGTAAGCAGCATCGACCATGATTGACCACATTTTACATCAGCGTCCTTGCACCCACTGTTCCTTTAACTTTCTTGTGTCAAGAACAAGTGGTACAAGCTGACACCCCACAGGGAGGCCTGCTACTACCCTTCGCGCCAACTCTGAGTCAAGCGAACACTTCCTATCCTAGGCAAAGCCATAAGCATTCGCAAGCCACGTACATTGCCTTTGAGCTCATGAAAGGAACCTTTGTTCCACTATGACATGCCATAAGCCTTACGACCGGCATATCCCAAAAGGGGACGTCATACAAAGAAACGTCGAAATCGCATCAACCAGAGGGGATCACTTTTCCATCTGATCTCAGAAGCATAAAAGCTTACCTACAACGGTAGACGCCGTACCACCAACCCATCCAGAGCCCAATAAGCCGTCTGCACCCGATGTCTTTGGAGAGACCTTGGTCGCGCGGGCCTTCGTTACCATGAGCGCTGGGAACACCTCAGCTGCATCCGATTCCAAATCCGCCCATGGCGTTTCGCTCCTCCGCAACGCAGACCGCGTCTATGGGTCTTCCGTAAAACATCCGCAGCCATGACGCTTCGTGGGTTACCCGCTGCGTTGGGGGTCCAGCTTACCTTTTTCGGTGCGTCACACAGCATTGCAATCCGGACTGCTTCCCACTTCTTGTCCACAACCATAAGCAGACCACCTCCCTGTCCTGATCCATTTGCAGCAGACTACGAGTCGGCCCAGCTGCAGTCGACCAAAAGTACAGACGTCCTGCCTTACCCCAGTCCCCCGTGAAATATCTGCAGTCTGGTCACACAACCAACACCAACATGTGCGGAGATCGACATACCGCCGTCTACATTACCCATAGACCTCCATCGGCATGGTGAACAACTGAGAAGCTGAACAGCAATCACGATTACACTTCGTAGGATCGTATTGTCGTCGGTGAGTGCCATGGTGCTTGAGCTGAACATACCCCCTAGCCACCTCAGATACGTGTGCATAGATAGTCGAAGATGAAGAAATATACGTATATCATTTCCCACGCCAATCATGTATCTCTGGCAGAAAGAAAAATAGTCTATTGGCTCCTACAGCAGTACTTTTGTTCTTCGTGACATATTGAAGCTCTGTCTATATCCCTATAAAGCTAGATCGAGAAACCCACCTCAGCAACAACCTGCATAGTACTTTTATACTGCAAGACTTGGAGGTCGTATGTACTTCCAAAGTGGATATAGTAGCCATGCCATAGCACATAGACAACCTCGGCGTCGTACATAGTAAAGATAACAGGAGACCGCTTCAAGCAACAATAACAAGAGGAACAAACCCATCAAGTCATGCATAACCTTCAACTACATACATACATACAATGCCAACAGTACATACCTTCCAGATCCCTAGTAAATAGGTACTAAGCCCATGCACCCATCAAACCCCCAAGATATATACGACGACGTACACCAACCACAACAACCCAATAGTAAAAAGAACTTTTCTTCTAAAAAAAGAAATAAATAAATAAATAAATAAAGAGAGGGTGTTTGTGAGAGAGAGACAGAAAACACAACCAGCCCAATAAACTCCCAATCCCACCCAATAGCCACGTATTCTGGGCACGTATGCACATACTGATACATGCGTCTGTCTATGCATACTTGTACATTAGGGTATGTATGCTTGGGTGCTTGATGGGTCATATCTCTAGTTTGGGGGGTTCCTTGCTTGGGTTTATGTATATTTATTGGGATGGATAGGTGGGTTTGTGTGTGTACTGAAGGGATGGTTAATTGTCCGGTGTATTGGAGACTGGGTGGAATCGATTGTTCTGGAGTTGGGTGTGTGGGTTTCTTTTTGGGGGGAGGTTATTTTTATATAGGTATCACTAGTATATTAGTATATGGATTTGGGGGAGTGGGTGGTAGGAGTTATTTGTATGGATGTGTGTTTTAGTGTCTGGTGTCATTATGTATCTGTCTATATATATATATGTGTGTGTGTGTGTGTGTGTGTGTGTTGTTTAGTGTTTATATAACTCAAAATGTAGTGTCTAATCTCATCACACCTTACTCGCAACCGTAACCTCCGTCGTAGGAATAGGATCATCAGGATGATCATCAACGTCATCAATCTCGCCCTCGCGTCGGGCGTGGTCATCGTCGACAGGATCCTCAACAACCCCAGAAATCCTCCCAATGACCCCTCTAGCAGTATCTCTCCGATCCAGATACGCCACAAGCCCAATAAATGGAATGGTCAACGACCCCGTAACCAAACTAGCCACGTACCCCTTCTCAAAGTGCGGCGCATCTGTAACGGGATAAAACACCAACGGCCACCAGGTGACGAACGCAAAATCAAACGAGTTCATGAACCCCGTCGTGATGGCGCGCAGCTGCAGATCGTGGCCCGTGACGTCCGCCATCCACGAGTACCAGAGGGCCTGGGGCGCGTAGGTCGTGCCCAGCAGGTAGAAGGCGAAGAAGTGGCCTGCGTCGGCGGCCGGGTTGGCGACGAGGATTGCGCTGCCGATGACGAAGGTTAGCCCGATTGCGAGGGAGCATTCCCAGCGCGATTGCAGTCTGTCGGAGATTGCGGAGTAGAGGATCGTGCCGAGGATGGCGGTTGCGTAGATGCCTGTTGGGTAGTTGTTTTGTTGGATGGTTGTGTAGCCGCGCGAGGACATCCAGAGGGCCATGACGTTGTTGCTTAGGGATTGGACGCAGAGAGAGTAGACTTGGGTTTTCTTTTGTTAGACTTGTAGGGTGGTCTGGGAAAGGGGAAGTGGCTCACGCATGAAGATGAGTGGTAGGAGGTAGAATTGCCAGCTGAGCAAGACGCGCTTCAGAACAGTGCGATCCCACGTTTGCTTGGTTGTCTGGCCCAAGCGGTGCGCGGCGTGCTCTTTCTCGGCCTCGTTGAGATACCATGCTGCGCGATGTGCCGGGAGATCAGGGATGAAAAACCATCCTAGCAGTCTTGTATCAGTATCTGAAGATGCACTTAGCCTTCCGGGAACATACCGAATAATGCAACGGGGATCGTCATCACTGAGACGATGATAAAGATCCATCGCCACGCAGGTAAACCAGCGTGCCCGGCTAATGCTTTCAGCAGTCCGGCTTGGATCCATCCGCCGGCCATGCTGCCGACATGGCCGAAGCAGCAAAAGACGGCCGCTCGAGTACCTAGCTCGGACTTGCGATACCAAGACCCCAAGATAAAGTGTGCACCCACACTGCCAGCATATCAGACGCAAGGAAATCACGTCATCTGGTGCAGGGTGCTACTCACTAGGCAATCGCCGAGAAGCCGCCCTCAATAGCATTCAGGAGAATAACCTGCCAGGCCTGAGTCATCCTGTACGTGATAAGAGTGAGAACACTCCATGTCAGGTTGGCTGCGACGAAGACATATTTGGGCCGCACAACGGTCAAAAGACTCGTCCCAGGAATCTGGCAGACGGCGTAGACGACTAAATAGGCGGTGTTCATGTAATTGTAGTCTTTCCCCTGGAAGTTCAAGGCCTCGCGCATGCCACTGATATATGCTGACGAGTAACTGGCTCGCGTTACACCGAATAGAAACCAGATGAGGGAAAAGTAGGGGAGCAGCGTGAGATCTAATTTCGCGAGTAGGGCTCGATCCTTCGGCTCCCTTCCCCAGAGGATCGTTGCGATTCTATTCATGGTCGGGCGAGCCATGGCGATAAGTATTGCTGTACATCCCCTTCATTTGTTAGAGGAAGGGTTTATCCCAGTGTTCAGTTAAGGGAACGGTCGGAGTCGCCTTTTAAAGTGTCGTGATGATCACGCAAAATGAGGGGAATCCGGCGACTTATTTATCTCCGGGACCGAACGATAAGGCGGATGCATGGAATGCTTGCAGAGAGCTTAGGGCTTTTCACCTCAGGTGTTTCATCTCCTTGGATAAAACTTGTAAATTATGACTTCTCAGAGAATCAACATGATCAAGCTTGTGCACAACCAAAGGTAACAGCTGGCAATGCGGCAGCCGACGGAGGCGCGATCACAGTGATACTAAAGTTGTACACAAGCTGAATATATACAGGTATGTCTCATGGACATTCCGCTTTCAGTCCCAGTCATTCGAAGAAAAAACCGGAAGCGTCGAAAAACCAGAGATAACTTGAACCTGTTCAACGACCAAAACATCACATTTCCTGCTGAGCACGGACGGGGAATGACTGGAAATACGGTTATACTTACTTAACTGACGCCATATCGGGTGGAAATGATCCATGAGATAGAGCCGACGAGGGTGAATGGACAGTGTATCACTATGATAGCTATCCTTTGCCAACATACACATCATCCTCATTGGAAAAGAATCATCAGGTTCCATGTTTAGCAAGATCCTGTTCGGTCGCAATCCACTACCGCATCTGGCATTAAGACTATTCCGCATATCATCGTCTAAACGACAACTCTGCAGTCATCCATGATTCATTATCCAACTTATTGAGAGCTCTACAGACTATTCTCGCGACACTCAAACCAAAGGTTCGAACCACCAAACCCTAATGTCCGCGGTTAGTCCTATGATGATGACATAACCGGCATCTTTATACGACGATGTCCATCAAAGAGTGATCGTGTGACTTGTCTCTGTAACTGCTTTGCTTGGCTTGCTCTCTTTAACCACACATGTCCACTTGAATCTCCTCAATTGTGGCGATGACGTGGTTTTGGCTAGCTTATTCCCGCATGAGCTATGCTGTTACCTGACTTGAGGGGCTGTCCCGACGGAGCAATATCGTTGTCCGAGTCCTATACGAGGTTGACCCAACTATGGATACAGAAGGAGTTGGAATCCTTGTTACCTTGGCTTTTGATCTTATAAACCGGTCATTCCTCTCCCCGATACACTATTGAAAATCAGCACTGAAAAACATGGCGTCGTCAGTTAACAAGTCTACGACTACCACCCATTATAATGACTGGCCGAACGCACAGGGTGTAAGTCGCATTCGCTATCATATTCAACAGCCTCATTGACAAACCAGTTTGATGTCCGCTACCAAGAGCTTGAGCCGACAGAGTTACCGGTCCAGGGCACTATTCCGCCCTACTGCGCCGGCGTGCTCTTTCGCAACGGGTTAGGCCCTCGCGATATCCAGACGGAGAAACAAACCACTTATCGTGTGAGCCACTGGTTCGACTATTTTGCCCAGGTCCATCGTTTTCAGATTCATGCTCCTACATCGGAACAGCCCTGGGTTCGCGTCACACACAACTCCCGACTAACCTGCGACGGCCTCATCCGAAGGATACAGCGAACAGGGTATCGTGGAGAGATTACCTTTGGAGCCAAGTATGATCCGTGTATGTCGCTCTTCCAGAAGGCGCAATCGACTTTTAAGACTATTCCACAAGGAGTTCCCGACGAGGTCGACATCAGCGTCACTCTGAACGTTAATTTTCCCGGGTTGTCAGCTACAGGCAGCAAGCAGGAGAAGATGGCTGGGCCAGGCATCGAGACACTTTGTAACCGCACCGATAACTCTACTTTCCAGATGCTCGATCCTCAAACCCTGGAACCAATTGGTATTGCGGACCAAACAGTCTTGCATCCCTCGCTCCGGGGACCCCTTAGCGCGGCCCATTGCAAGACGGACCTGACCACCGGTGATGTCTACAACTACAACTTAGACATGGGTCTAACAAGCACCTATCGTATCTTCCACGTTTCTCGCGCAACAGGGAAAACCAGCATTCTCGCAACGTTCAGGCATGCTGCTACATACGTGCACTCTCTTTTTCTGACGGAGCACTACGTCGTGCTCTGTCTCTGGAACGCTCGCTTGCGTGCCGGAGGCATGTCCCTGCTATGGACACACAACTTTGTGGATGCATTGGCCGACTATGATCCTACACAACGCAGCACTTGGTTCGTGGTAGATCGTACTCCTGGAGGGCGGGGATTGATCGCGCGCTACGAGTCCGATCCCTTCTTCAGTTTCCACACTATCAATGCATATGAAGAGCCTTCCTCGACCGACCCCTCCAAGACAGATATCATCGCCGATGTTTGTGCATACGACAGCTTAGACGTATTAAAACGTTTTTACATTGACAACTTACTGTCCAACTCCGCTACAGCCCACCAATATGGCGATTCAAAGAGCCAGAGGGCTCGCGGCGCTTTCCAACGCTTCCGTCTGCCTGCCGTTCCCGAAGGATCAAATTCTAAAACCCTCACGGCGGAACTCGTCTTCTCGATGGGAAAGGGACTAGGACCGGAACTGCCTCGTATCAATCCTCGGGTAGGCGGCCGCAAGTACCGCTACGTATACGGCGTGACCGACTCGGGGAAAAGTGTCTTCCTGGACGGTCTAGTCAAACATGACGTCGCCACGCAGACATCTCTCTATTGGAGTCAGCATGGGCAGACGGCCAGTGAGCCGATTTTTGTGGCCGATCCGGATTCAGAGGACGAGGATGGTGGTGTACTTCTATCCGTCGTGCTGGACGGCATCGAAGGACGTAGTTATCTGTTAGTTCTCGACGCAAAGACGATGACAGAGGTCGGGAGGGCTACGGTATATGGTGTGGTTGGCTTCGGGTTTCATGGTGTGCATGTTCAGGACCCTTAGCTTGTTTTCCCTTGTCTGTTTTATCTCTACTGTCTTGGATCTTTTGGGCCTTGTATACTTGAGGGTCTGCTGCTTTCTATAGTTCTACCTTTTTTATATCAGCATTGTCTCGAAGATGATACAGTAAGAGTGTAGCTTGAGTCTATATAGTCTAAATACGATCCTTGAGCCAATGCAGACTAGCGATGTAATCACGTTGTTGAACAAACCACTGTCATAGAATTATGTAGTCCTGATCTCCGAAGAGCTGAACACAAGCGAGATTTATATCACGACGTATTGACCACTCGGGACGCGGTTCATCGATGACCAAAGCATTCTCCAACAGCACAGACATGAATCTAATGGAAATCGCAATTCTATCCATGTCTCTCAACATTGAGCATTAACATCATGTGGTAGCCACATGCGATGTCTCGTGGCCCTACCGGAAGATCCAGGGACAGCATAATACCCTCGTATACATGGCATGATAGCTAACGACCCGGAGATAGCAAACTCATACGCACATAAGAACTCGAGCACATTTGCCCAAAGGGGCTTACGAGTCTCGACTGGTCCCTGACGTGGCCTGAGGATCGAACACTAAACGCTACGGAAGCGAGATAGGCCTTCTCTTCTGACAGGTCACCTTGGACATAGGATCCAATGCCGAGTTTACTCCGATTAGAGTTAAGCTACTCCAGTGGCAACTCTGAAGATCAATCAAGTCAAGCCGTATGAGCTATACAGACCGTTCGGTGCGTAGACTCTGGACAGGAAGTCTAAATGAATCGAAAACCGCCACAGACAGACGCAGAGGAGCTAAGATTAGAGAGTGGATCAGCTTCCCCGGATTCTTACGGCGGCCTTCATCCGGGTTTTGTTCGACGTGGTGCTTCAAAAGGAGCTGGCAAGGTCTAGATGCGGGTGAACCCGGCTGGTTCTCGGGAAGGACCGTCAGTGGGATCTGAGTCAGCTGCCATGGCCACATTGCGCATCCCCCCAAACAGGAAATCTAGGAGAAACGATACGGTAATGGAACGCTCGGATTGCACGCCAGCTGAGGGGAAAGTGGACTTTTGGTCGCCGGTTGAGTCATATATTCATCGTTAGGGGAGTTATGCGACTTTTGTACATGCATACCCCGAGTACATACTCGGCGCAGCTCTGTCGGTACCGAGGAGAGTAAGCACATCGCTACAGTTCGTCCTGGCGATAAGAATCCCTGTCCATACTGCAGACGATTAAGGTCTAGAAGGACGGAGGAATCCTTGTTGACAATCCCTTTCCTTCTGTCCGTCATCTCCACCTAGGAAACTGTGTATAAGAGAGCTTCATACCCACCGTAGGATCTCCATTGCAGATAGAAATTCCCCCTCATAAGGCTTGTCGAGTGCTTCTCCTCACCAGCAGAAACCTCCCCCTCATTCTCCAACAGCCTTCAGGAAAATCGATTATCCCAGAGGGAAGAGTGTAAAAAAAAATAAAAAAATAATAATAAAATAGATTAGGGTCGGAACCGGACCCAGTTCATCGGGAGGGCATCTGGGCCCCGGCGGCTTCCTCAGGCTGCAAATCCCTTCGACCCAGTTTTTTTGCCCCATTCACGGAGGCGGAACAGCTCCTAATAGGGAAGGCATAAGCCCGGCGGAACCTTGAGAGCGCCAGACAGCGTCAGAAAGACACCCAACTTCCAAGGCTCCAAGGCGTACAAGTCATTGACACACCGATTCGCCCAAAACAGCTAATTTCTTATCGCGTCACTGCTCCAACGCCTCCGAAAACTTTTTTTTTTTTTTTTTTTTTTTTTTTTTTTTTTATTAGCTTGACGAAACTGATTTGACTCAATTGTCAATTACTAGAATCCTAATTCAGTTTCCAGATTCTTTCTCCTTTCTCTCCCCTCTCAACTCTCTCCTCCCTCTCCACTCCTCCCCCATACTGGGCGACCACAACCGATAATGGTTGGAAGTGCGCTTGCTATCCGGTCCAAGATGGCTACGCCATCAGTCATGTCGTCGCTGTCGCGCAGGTCGCTCTCGACGCGCCCTCATGCCCTTCGATCCGCTCGTCCCTTGAGATCCAGCGGTTTCTCCCAGCAGCCCGTTCAGCGCACCGCTCGCCGCTCGTACGCTGACGCCGCGCCCGCGCCGAAGCCCAAGAAAGGATTCAGGTTCTTGCGCTGGGCCTGGCGCTTGACCTTGCTCTCCGGTCTCGGCCTCACCGGTTATGTGGCGTATAGCGTCTATGAGCTCCGTCATCCAATTGAGCAGATTGGACCCGACCCCAAGAAGAAGACCCTGGTGATCCTCGGTAGGTTGCCTCAAATCCGGTGTCTTCGCCATTGATATGGTTACACAATCTGGACATGCGATTAACCCCGCGCAGGTACCGGCTGGGGCTCTGTTTCTCTTCTGAAGAAGCTGGATACCGAGAACTACAATGTCGTCGTCATCTCCCCCCGCAACTACTTCCTTTTCACCCCTCTGTTGCCTTCCTGCACCACGGGTTTGGTCGAACATCGCTCGATTATGGAGCCCATCCGTAACATCACGCGCCAGAAGAATGCCTACGTCAAGTTCTACGAAGCCGAGGCGACCAAGATTGACTATGAGAAGCGTGTCGTGTACATCAGTGACGACTCCGAAATCAAGGGTGACATCTCCAAGACTGAGGTGCCTTTCGATATGCTTGTTGTCGGTGTCGGTGCTGAGAATGCAACCTTCGGTATGTAACCTAGAGTAAACCCAGCGAAGTAACCAACGCTGACTCGCGCATCAATAGGCATCAAGGGTGTCAAGGAGCACTCTTGCTTCCTGAAGGAGGTCGGCGATGCCCAGAAGATCCGTACGCGTATCATGGACTGTGTCGAGACCGCTATCTTCAAGGACCAGACTGAGGATGAGATCAAGCGTCTTTTGCACATGGTTGTCGTCGGTGGTGGCCCCACTGGTGTTGAGTTCGCTGGTGAGATCCAGGACTTCTTCGAGGAGGATCTCAAGAAGTGGGTTCCGGAGATTAAGGAGAACTTTAAGGTCACCCTCGTTGAGGCTCTTCCCAACGTGCTTCCCATGTTCTCCAAGCAGTTGATTGACTACACCGAGTCAACCTTCAAGGAGGAAGCTATCACCATCCGCACGAAGACCATGGTCAAGAACGTGACTGATAAGTACATCGAGGCTGAGGTCACCAAGCCCGACGGAACCAAGGAGTTGGAAACCATCCCCTACGGTCTCCTGGTTTGGGCTACCGGTAACGCCGTCCGCCCTGTTGTCCGGGACCTGATGAGCCAGCTCCCCGCCCAGAAGAACTCGCGCCGTGGTCTTGCTGTTAACGAATACCTTGTCGTCAATGGCGCCGAGAACGTTTGGGCCGTCGGTGACTGCGCCATCACCAACTATGCCCCCACTGCTCAGGTTGCTGGTCAGGAGGGTGCTTTCCTTGCTCGTCTCTTCAACACTATGGCTAAGACCGAGTCGATCGAGGATGACCTGAAGCAACTGTCGGAGGCTCAAGCACAGGCCAAGAGCCCCGAGGAGCGCAACCAGATCTTCGATGAGATCCGCGAACGCCAGAAGCAATTGCGCAGAACCAAGCAGATTGGCCCCTTCCAGTACTCCCACCAGGGAAGTCTGGCTTACATCGGAAAGGAGCGTGCGGTTGCAGACATCAGCTGGCTGAGCGGCAACATCGCAAGTGGTGGTACCATGACCTATCTCTTCTGGCGCAGTGCTTACCTGAGCATGTGCTTCAGCAGTAAGTGATCCCTTTCGCATACCTATACAACAGGATACCCGTACTAACACACGAAACAGCTCGTAACCGTGTCCTGGTCGCCGTCGACTGGGTCAAGGCCAAGATGTTCGGCCGTGACGTCTCTCGGGAGTAAATCAATCTCTCGCATATAGATTTGGAACCAACTGTACCACCAAAAACAGCAGATATGCTACGTCTATGATTTCGGAGCGAGAATTCTTGTTTTCCCCCGTTTATTCGACCATTCTACCTTTTGATGCCCGTTCACATGACCCTTTACCCTCTCTCTCTTTTCTCGTTTCTTTATCCTCCCCATCGAAAATGAATGGGACACTCATCATCCACTCCGTCAATGCCCATCTCCCTCTTTCCACATCTAGAAGGTCCACTTGATATCCCCACGAGACCCGCCTTGAAGGATAAACCCCCAAGGCACGCTGGAAATGGAAAAAGAAGAGAAGAACAAAAAGCATTAATCTTTATCTCTGTGTACGAAATCGATAGACCGGTTGTGGGGTTACTGTTTATTTAGATTTGTTAGATTTGGCCATAATCATTCTATATTCTTTCTTTTGTTCATTTACATTTCCTATCCTTGAATCGTTGCCATAATAATATCTTTGGTAAGGATTTGTGCATTTTTATGGTTTATAAATGCGGTTCCCCTTCTATTATGTATGGGAATGTTTACGGATTACTTTATAGATTGTTCAAGTTATTTTGAGTAACATTGTAGGTTTGCATTATGTGGAATGTAGATATTTCTATCCATGCTAGATGATTTTCACATGAACTTCTGATAAGGGAGAGGAATGAATAAACCAAGCACTCGCTGTGCTAACGCCTATCCTGAAGAGATTCTTTAAGCTATAAACAGACCTTATTGGTGGTATGGTATACAGGAAGCTAGGTAAGAGAGGTAAAGAGAAGGGTGGCGAAGAGAATGTAGTGTGGCGGCAGCAATGAAAAAAAGGAAGGAGAGGGAGCGAAGGAGGTAGTGGAGCAAGAGATATAATTAATTAGAACAAGTTCCAGCCACGATTTCTCTGCTCTTTGGACAGGGGGCGGTCGGTGTTTCTATGCTTGCTGCGACCGTCCAACTGGCGGATGCTTTCGATTTTCTGCAGGGCTAATTCGAGGAGTTCCTTCTTCTTGATCACGTCGAGGTGTCTCCGGATGCGAGGGTCCTCGCGGGCGAAGCGTTCTACTTCTGCGTCGGAGAGGTGACGGCCTAGCCTCATGTCCAGTTCTCGGGGGAAGTTGTAGTAGAACTCTGATAGGAGCTCAACGTTGAGGAATAGTACCGCGGTTGATGTGAGCTTGTCTGCGACGACGTCAAGGAAGACTTCGGGGCAGTAGTACTTGTTTTTCTTGCTGGCACATTGCTTCGAGCGGACAGCGAGGAGTCTCATCTTAAGGAGATCAGCTCGATCGCGCAGGAAGGCGCTTTCACGACCTGGTTTTGATTAGCTTCCTCTGTTGGTAGCATAGGGAACGTATACATACCTGTGGCTAGCAGGGCAGAGCTGAATCCACCTGCTCCACCAGCGCCGTCGCCTTCCAAGACTACTTCACCTTTCCTGACCTTGTCTATGAATGACATCACATCCTTGATCTTTCTCCTCCCAACAGAGTCCTCAACACGTTTCAAAGCTGCCTCACACGCCTTCAGCTCCTCCTTTAGCACTCTAGTTATGTTTTCCCTTCCCTTAGCCCACTCCGGGTCTTCAACTTCGATTTCGTATTTATAAGGCTTGATGCAGTTCTCGACTTGATCACTGGTGCTGAAGAATCGATCATTCAGGATGCTACTGCAAGCATCCACGATCTGCTTTTGAGCATACGGGTGGGAGGCGAAGGTAGAGCTGGCCAACAATGACTCGACATGATTCTGGATTGCACCAGCAACAACTGTTGTAGCAAGCCTGCCAATTCCCAGCTTGGTCAAGGAGGATGTCGACGCGTCGAGCTTACGGTGCCAATACATTGACTCCGGGTCGGCCTTGGGAAGGTCAATGAGGGGATCCAACTCAGGCATCGGAGGGTTCAGGTCGTCGATTGGCTTGTTCCAATATCTCTGAGCGAGGATGTCCATGACGCGTTGATCGAGCTCATTTTTCAGCATCTCACGCACCTGGGGGCGGCCAAAGTTCTCGGCGAATGCCTTGAAGGAGTGCTTGAAGCTGTCCAGGCTCTCGGCGAGATAAGACTCGGCGCTCAGCGGACGATCATTATATTGAACCTTGAACTCGTACGTCGCTTCTTCCAGTTCCTGGCTGATAGCGTCCCTAGTACCCGCTAGGCTAGATGCCATCGTCTGTTCAAGAACATGCATAAGCTTGGTTCGCAAAGTTCCAACGCCAACCGACACCTCTGACTGAGGCCCAAACTCAGAGGGATGAGAAGAAAAATAGGCATTTTCATTCTTCATGATCGCGCTCGTGATGTTGCCACTTCCCCGAGAAGAAAACAGAGCGGTCGTCTGGGGGATTCGCGAGACCACACCCACGTAGCCCAGGCGAAGAGGGTATTTCTTATCAGTAAGAATGCTATGGCCACGCTCTGGGTCGACAAGGTCCATCTTTGTGATGACACCGATCGTCCTTTCACCCCTAGGGTCTACTCTGCGACTTGCTCTTAATGCTGTCGAATTGGCAAGATCAACATCTGCCGCAGATATGGCTAAGATAACATTTGGCGCTTGGATGTACTTGTCACATAGATCAGAGATCTTTTGCTTCAACTGTGGAGGTTGACCTTGGCCGGAAACCTGGATATAACCTGGGAGATCAATGAGGGAAAGATCGGGAACATTAGGAGAATAGATGGTGAGTTGAATCGGGTCATCGCTGACACAATCCCTCTCAGGGACTGCCAAGTTAAGGTCGGTCAAGGTGCGTTGGATTGAAGAGAAGTCGGTTATCTTCCCTAGCCCGAGGGCTGGGAATTCTCCATATTCTGCTTGTGCGTGAGGAGTATTGACCAAAGTAAGTTCGATCGGCCGCCGGGTAACCATATTCGAGCCTTTGGGAAGAAATTCATGTCCAACAATAGCTTCGAGAACGGAGCTTTTGCCGGATGATTGCGAACCAATGACTACAATTGACGGCAATGTCAGGGTGTTGGACTGGCCAACAGCCTGGAGTATGTTCCTGATCTCGATCATTTTACGAGTAAGGAGCATCATCTGGTCGTCCTCCGCATTCCTGGTCAATCGGGCGTGCTCATCATCTTGGTCGTAACCCAAAGCCGCCGCCCCAGCAGCTGCAGCGGCACCAGCCCGGCTTTCTCTTGGGGGCTGCCCTCCTCCCCCCGAACCGTCGTTTTGGGAACCTTCACTGAAGCCTAGGATGTTTTGCAACCATTCAGGAACTTCCACACTATCTGTAGTCCTTTGCCAGCCACGTTGTGTCTGTTCAGCCACATTCTGGATTTCGGAGAAGATGGAGGAAGCAGCGTCACCGGCCGACTCCCCCGCACGTTTCAGCACATCAATAGCATAGTTTCCTGCCTCTATAGTAACCATAAAGATTAGATGAATAGTTCCTGAGATCGGAAGATAGGAACATACGTGTAGTTTGATATTGAATATAAGCTAACCCAGCTACTGTAGCCGTTCCAAGCATTGCAGGCACCTTCACTAGTTTTAGTGCCAGCTTCGGAAGGATCCTCGCAAAGGAGATCCCCCGCACAGCGGGGACATTATGAATCGAGTTCGCACCGACAGGCCAGGCGCGTCCTCGAAGTGCGGCGCTGCCATCTGAACGTAGAAGACCTCCAGTCCTTGCACCAGCATTATGAACATGGCGGGCCAAAAAGCCCGTCCGCAAGAGCGGAACAAGACGGTGGGAGAGGATTCTCCCGCTCATGCTTCTCGAAATCGCATACACATCAAGCGGATTGAAAGAATAGAATCGGTCATCTCCGGGCTAAAAGCCACGGCGGTAGATTCAGGTTGCTGGTGCGTCGAACAATAGCAGTAGCAACAAAATAATCGGATGTCATAATGTCGGTACCACGCGAAGGCGGACCGAACCTCCAGCACGGAGAACCTCGTGACCTGCGCCAATGGCCGCTTCGCCGTCCGTATACAGTCGGTGTGAGTCACGTGTGGTTGAAATGGCGACATTGGTAGTACTGAAGCACAGACGTAGATATATTTATATATCTTACTCCTGAATATCTTTTGTATTTATTGCATTGAATTAATTCTATACTTTGACTCCATTCTATTCTATTCGTTTCGTGGTCGTTGGGCTTTACCTTTGTCAATTGTGGAACAAAACGCATCTTTAAACCTCTCCAGAAGCTGCGACTTCGGCCGCCGGGCAATAGAATTGCTACACCGTACTCCGGCTACGTCCATAGCTATAACCCTTTCCTGGAACCGTTTTATCGTTGAGCTCCTGGTCGCAAACACTGAAACTCCTTTAGAGAGAGCTTCACTTCTCTCGTCATGTGCCGCTTTTTGGTAAATCAATCTATACTATTTCTATGCGTCATACAACTGACCGCTATTTTTGCCAGGTATACAAGGGCCGACATGAGATACGTCTCAGCAAATTAGTTACAGAGCCCAGTCATTCAATTCTGACTCAATCATATGACTCCCGTCTTAGACTGGTAAGTATCAACTCGAATCATGACCTGGAGACTTCACGCAGCCCGTTCTGTATACCCAAAACATGATTTAACTCGCTGATTACAGGATAACCGCCGTCCAGTAAACGGCGATGGCTTCGGAGTAGGGTTCTACACGGACCCCAAGCTCGGCCCAGAGCCATGTATTTTCACATCCACACTCCCAGCCTGGAACTGTGAGAATCTTGAACGTTTAGCATCCAAAACTTGCTCCAATCTGATCTTCGCGCATGTCCGCGCAACCACGGAAGGAGCCCTATCAGATAACAACTGCCACCCGTTCCAACACAACACGTTGATGTGGATGCACAACGGCAACGTTGGTGGCTGGCAGTATATCAAGCGGCCGCTGGGCGATTCGCTCGCGGATCGCTGGTATCTGGGCGTGAAAGGCGGCACAGATAGTGAATGGGCTTTTGCGTTGTTCCTTGACCTCTTGGAGAAGGAAGGTGTTGATCCGAGCTCGGATCCCGGTCCGGAGGGCTTTGGGCAGGCGCTCCTACGACGGGTGATGGTCAAGACTATTGCAAAGATCAATGAGTTCATTCGGGATATCCCCAAGAGACATAATGTTTCTGGTATTGAGACCCGCAGCTTGCTCAATTTTGCTGTAACGGATGGCCATACAGTGGTTTGTACGCGGTATATCAGCAGCAAGACGGATGAACCTGCCAGTTTGTACTTCTCATCGGGCACCAAATGGAAGGAGGGAAAGGTTAAAGGCCACTTCAAGATGGAACGTCACGATAAGGGAGCCGACATTGTCCTAGTGGCAAGTGAGCCGATTACGTTTGAGAGACGTGAGTTACGACCTACCTAGCCCACAGGGTTGAGGGCTAACTTCAATAGATAATTGGGTTTCGGTTCCCGCCAACTCGATTGTTACTATCCATAAGCAGACGGTCCTTCTACATCCCATCATGGATGAGTTCTATAGCGAGGACTTGAACCAAGACCGCTCATCCTGCTATGCTGTGTCGAAGGGTCTCGTTAGCACGGCTCCTGGCACAACAGTCCAACCTCAAAACACTGAGCCAAAGGCTCCTGCAATAAGCGTCAATGGTGCTAGAGTAGATGATCCCGCAGGAGGACTAGGCCAGCATCAACTAGAGTTCGCTAACAAATGTGCAATTTCACATTGAGGGCTTTTGCATGCTTCGAGGTATTAAGCTGGACTTAATGATAACCAACAATTGAGGTCATTGGCGTTGGTATTGGGTCGGGGTATTCTTTTTGTCTCTGATATGGGGGTACATCATTTAATCTTAGCACACATAGTCTTGACTGGGTCTCTTCGGGGTTATAATTAGAAATTAGGTTATCACATTGGGTGTCCTGAGTTCCAGGTCATTGGCATCGTGCCGTTTAAGAAATCACAATACAAAATAAAATAAAGAAATGTATTATACAGGAATAGCAGGCATTATGTATCGTCACCCGATATATTGGCATGCTTAAAATATTTCATGCCCACCCACGCAACCACAACCCATACCCATGACATGACGGCCGTCAAGATGATCAGAGCAGGATAATACCCAATAATAGGGAGTGTAGGATCATCCTCAAGCTCCGGAGGCGCATAAGGAGTTTCTCCAACATCCCAAGCCCAGCTCCAGACACCAAAACAACTGCCCATGCCCACGACGAAAACAAGCCATGTCACTATCAGAATAATCCAGCCCCACCACTCCGTCTCTGAGTAATCCCAGTTCATATCCTGACTACTAGTTATGTCAACCGCATGCGTCGCAAGAGGAGATTTGGTGCGATGCATAGCTCGGTACGTTGAGTCCGCTGAAAGCGCATAATAGGAATCCGAGCTCGAAGAAGCAGACTGAAGATGTAGACCCGCAGCAGCAGCAACAGCGGCATTTGTATTTTTAGAAGGAGGAAAAAACACAATATCCTCATCATCAGTAGTTATCTCTCCGCCAAGGATACTGTTTTGGGAGCGGTTCTGCCGGTGATGCTGAGCGGATTGATCCAGTGACTTTGGCTGCGTATTCATGAAACCTTCCCATACCATATCTTCCGGACGACTATCTTGTTCTGCATTTCCGTGGGGCACGATCTGGTCTGGGGAAACGGTGTCAGGTAACGGTTGTTGCATTCGTGAGCCCGTGGCAAGCTGTTGCTGTTGTCCGATAACATCTGCCCGTGGCATGTCGATCGGTGCTCGGGAGGCTTTTTTATCTCGATATTCAAACCGCGTGCCTAGTAGGGCGGTTTTTCGAAGTGAACCCCTCCTCCTTCGCGTTCTTCGTTGTTGTAGCGCGCTAGCCATTGCTCTGCCCCCCCGTACACTAGAACCAAAACCATCGCTATCATCACGGTCGATGCCGGAATGAGCCCGCTCCGGGTTGTTATGAGTCGCTTGTATCATACGGAGAAAAGAGAGTTTGGATAATAGGGAGCCGGATGAGCTGCGCTTATGTCCGCTGCTTGCGCTCTCTGAGCGCGTCCGTCCGGAGAGCTGATCATCGTTATCCAACGGTAGTGCCACCCTGCTGCTGTCGCTTGCATCTTCCATTGGCGCAAGCTGGGCGTTATTAGCTCAGCTGGCCATTAGTCACCAGCATCCAGATTTGTGTTCCTTGAATTATATGTTGGCAGATTCCATCAGGCAAGATGGTTATGGTGAGAGTACGAAGGGGAGAGTTGATGCCGCCCGAGCCAAGCCAGCCGAGCCTCCGAGGCGGTACCTTCAGTTAAGGTACTGCTCACCCATGGTTCGATCAGGTTGTCCGAACCATCGCCAATGTATATGTTCTACACGCTCGCAGCACTTGTCTGGACAGGCCATACTTGTGGCGACCGCTACTACTTATAGAACTATCGCGGAAGAAAAAGATCAAGTCATTATTCATACAACAGCCGTTCTCAAATTGTACTTGTTGCCGATAGCTGTCATATGTCCGCTAACTAATTGATCCAAGGCAGTAAAAGAGAAAAGGTATCCGAAACTCCAGGGCATCAAGTCGTAATCTGGACCGAGGACAATAATGGTCTCAAGGGTGGTATCATAAAGTAAGCATGAGAAAAAGTACCGACGAGATGCAACGCATAGAGAGGCCTCGGGATCCCGGGGACACGTTAAGCTTGTTAGCGAGGTATAGATAAACTTGAAATGAGAAAAGTCACTGAATAGATGAGAAAGCAAGGCCGCTATCAAACCAGAAGAGAAACTTGGCATGTGAGCGTCAAGACACAAGGGCCCATTCATAGGCCAGACATACATACTAAACGAATACGATGCAAACTCATAGAAAGTGACTTATCAAGAAATAATAATCCAAAATAGATAGGGGGTCAGAGCACAAGGAAACAAGAAGAGGTACTTTTAGTTTATTCCGCAGAACGCTTGAATCGACAGTCCAAGAAGCTCTTAGTAAAAGTAGCGCACATTCATGGAAAGCAAAGAGCATGAGAGAATTGACTCAACGAAGTGGACTCGGGGTATTGGGTGTACGATAACACACAAATTTCATTTCAAAGAGAAGCATTTGAGAATGGGAGATGCGCTTAGAAATCCACTTAGTAAGGGACAATCATGAAAAAGGGAGCACGGTAAAAAATAAAAGGAAACAATGTGGTAGTACGAAGAAATTAAACGAGAAGGGAAAAGAGAGGAGAAAAGTCGAAAGGGAGAAGGAAAGAGCCTCTTCTTAACACAGTTGTTGACGCAGGCAGCCCTGCTTATGCTCGATTGGTCCATTTAAGGAACGTTCGATAAGGCCGGCATGCAGCGAAGTATACTGGACGATAGGCTACGCTTGGTAGCCTCCAAAGCCATTCCCAAAATTAGCGTTGTTGGCCTGGTTCCAGCCAGAGGCAGGGGCAGCTTGTCCGCGGCCATAACCTGCATTTCCTGGGACCTGGCCATAGTTCTGGCCGCCCATTCCGGACTGATCCCAGCCTCTTCCAGCTGGGTTAGGACCTACGGGTTACCATATTAGCCATGAACCAAAAGTTGCATAAGGATAGGATGAAATTCACCTTGAGGAGTCATAGGTCCACCGGGTCCACCGTACTGAGGGAAATACGGGGCTGGACTGTTATTAAAGGGCGAACTACCCTGTTGACCAGAGAAGTTGTCGAACTGGCCAGTAGGAGGACGATCCTTACCCCACTACGACAGTTAGCAAAGCATCAAGTTATGAAAGGTAGGGAAGACCATACGCTGCACTTCAGGGGACGCCCATTAACATTGTACCCGTTAAGCTGGCAGATAGCCATGGCAGCATTTTCGTGACTATCCATCTTGATGAACGCAAATCCACGATCCGCTTGAAGACGGGTTTCCAGAACATAACCAAAGTTCTGGAAGAGCGGGACAAGATCGTTCTGCGTGGTGTAAGGGGTGAGGTTGCCCACATAGCACGTGGTCTGCCACTGTGGGGTTTGCTGGACAACCATATCGTAGCTCTGAATGCCATGAGTTGGGAAATGATGATGACCGAAAGCCGTTGTCGGGGTCATTCCCATAGCGGCCATCGCTTGTTGCTGAGAAATGGAGGGCTGCCCTTTCTGATTCGCCCAGTTACAACGAATAGCACGAGACCCGAGCCACTCGCCGTCCATCGATCCCAATGCTTTATCTGCATCCGCACGGTCGCGGAATGCAACAAAACCGTAGCCCCGGGACCGACCAGTTTTCATGTCCCACATGACACGCGCCTCGGAAACCGAACCGAAGGCTGAGAAAGCCTGTTGCAGGATTTCGTCGTTAACTTCATTGCTCAGATCTCCAACGAAAATGTGGAAGTGGTTCGAGGTATCTTCCTTGTTCGAGCTGTTGGACTGGTAAGCCCAGTTGACACGGATTTCCTGCAAATCCCGTCAGAGATGGTTCTAGAACGTGTAGGAGGCTCGGATGACCATACCGATTGGTGAATGCGGCGCCCGTTGAGAGTTTGCATAGCTCGTTCGGCAGCGCCAGGATCGTCGAATTCAACGAAGCCGTAGTTGTATCCTTTACTGTTGAACTTCTGCGGGAGTTAGTACGTAAGCTGATGTACATTCAACAGTTGATAGGGAATGTAGACGACGCACAGAACTCACGTTCTTATCAGGAATGATTTTTACGCTGACAACGTGTCCAGTAGTCTCAAAAATTTGTTTCAAAATATCCTCAGTTACCCGGGGGTCAAGACCACCAACATAAAGAGCTCTTTTGTTTGGCTCTGGGGCAGCCCGGCGCACGTACCCGCCGGCGCTGGTTGGGGACATCATGTTTCCAGACATCGGAGAGGTGATCGCTGTGGGAATAGGATTGGTATTCTGTGGGATCACAACCGGAGGGCGAGGGGGCGGCGGCATATGGGAAGGATTGGCCTGGCCGTTGCCCTGAGTCCCGTCGTACTGCTGACCTGGAGCAGCAGAGGTCTGCGGAGGCGGAGGGAGAGTCGAAGGAGTTTGGGTGGGTACGTTATCAGCCATTGTTGAAAGATCACAAGCCGCAATATACAAGGAAACTGATCACTGAAACAATATAATGCACAAGTCAATGAATGTTGGTAACGCTTAATGGGTGAGTGTGAGTGATGAGATCTTTTGAGGACGGGGCGATGCAGAACGTTACGCAGTCACCGAATTGGTTTAAGGTCGAAAGGCGGAAAGCGACGCGGGGATCGAACGCCCAGAAGAACAAAAAGGACAAAACAGGGCAGGGGAAAAAAAAGGGAAAAAAAAGGAGAAGGAAAAGGAAATTAGTGGAGCATACAAGGAAGCGTTGTCGTCAAAATTAACGACAGGAAAAAGAAAAGAAATTAGAGGGTGAGGCAACAGCTTCGTGACGGATGAAGATGCGCTAGAATCCAGACGACTCAAAACACGGCTTTCTCCCCAACAAGTTAAACAGGTGGAAAAAAGCTTAAGATTTGGGGGGATAAAACACGAGGGAGCTGGAGGAAATGGATGCAAAAAGAAATAGAAAAGAAAAGAGATAGGAAAGCAAAAAACAAAAGGGAAGAAAACCCCAATCACTCAGGTCTCGACGCCAGCGAAAAGTGCGATATGGACAGCGTGAGAGATGAAATGAAATGGAAACAGGGGAAAAGAAAAGCTGCGATGATCTGACCTGACGGGAGTCTGAATGGAGAAAAGAACGAGGAGTTTGGATGGTCAAGAGCCGCTTGGGGTGAGGGGCGCACTAAGCCCCTTTGCGTTAGTCCTCCCTTGACGGGTCGCTTTCCATTGAATCCATTCAGGTAAGGCGCTTAATTCCTCCACTGCTCATCAATTTGACCTATCGTTCGAAAATCTTAGGCCAGGGTCCTTTGGTTCGCTCTTGCGGTAAGTAATGATATCCTTTCTCCTTTGCGCAGAACATCAAAAGTGTTTACGATCTTACACCATCATGATTGCTCTCCTCCTGGTCCTTTCATTGGTATCGTGTGATCTCAGAAACCAGTAGTACCTACCTGCCTGGTACTCCCGTGTCGCGGGAGTGCTATTGGCGTTGCTGCGTTTGATCTATCGCCCGTCTCATTCCAGGTTTTCAGGGACCCCTGTTACAACTTGCGTCAGCTGCGGACCTGTCTTGATCGACTAACAGAACCCCTTAGGGAACCCCTTAGCCTCAGAGTAGTTCGTATCTTTTGCTTTCATCCAGTCATCATCCTCCAGCAGATTACATCCAAGACAACGCGACACTGCCACAGTGACTATGGCTACTTCGGACCTTTCAAATCCAGATTCTCTGGCCGTTTTAACGGCAATGGTTAATCAAACGGTATTGCCCTTATGGACCAGTTTATTGTAGTACAAAAGCACTGATCCTGGCCAGCTTATCGAAACCGGCCGCTTTTTTCGATCAGGGGGTTCTACGCAATCCAGGGCCCAACTCAAGCGCTCAATTCCAGTTGCTCATGAGCAGTTTCAAAGCGCGCTGGACAATCTGTCCGAGCAGATCGTATGTGTTTTTCTTTTCCGTCGACCAACGGAGGGCACATGGTATGTTGATCTTACTGACCAACATTAGTTCATTGCCAAGACATTCCTGGAGAGGGACTACGAGGCTATTGCAGCCCAAAAGGCAGCACTGCAACCAGCCGAAGATGTTGTTATGAGTCAATTAGAGACCACACAAGACCCCGAAGCTGCGCCACAGGCGGAGGCAACAGCAATTGACACAAATCAAGTCCAATCAGAACCGCACAAGGCTGACACCGTGCAATCACACACAAGCATCGATGCCAGTCAGCAGGACTCCAGTGAAACCCTTGTGAAAGAAGAGAAACCAGCTGAGTCTGGTGCGGTTGGTCCTAATCAGTCTCAGTCTGGGCCCAGTGAGATCAATTTTGATTCAGTGCTCGATGATACTGGCGGGGCGAATGACTTCGATCTGAACTTAGACTTTGGAGATGACGACCTGGGGAACGAGAACTTTTTGTCGGGATCCAACCTTGGTACTACAAATACGACTGGTGCCGCCGAGCAGGAGAAGGGGGTTGACCAAAGTGGGGACACGACAACCGAAGTCCCTGGTTTGGAGAATGGTGCGGCTAACATCCCAACTGGCGGAGATATGTTCGACCTAGAGTTGCAGAAGACCGATGTATTTTCCGATCAAAATGGGGCCCCAGAAGGGCAGCAAGGCAACCCTACCGAAGATATTATGGCGCCGGGGGAGTCTAGCTTCGATGACTTATTCATGGATAATGAGAATTTTGGCGGTGGAGACGTTGGAGACCCCAGTATGTTGGAAGGTGATAGCTTGATGAACATGAACGAGCTTGATGACAGCTGGTTTACTTAGAGCTGACTCTTATCATATGGACGACGGGGAGACGCTTGGGGGGTCTACTACTCATGATGGCAATGATTATCGGCTATAGACAACGCTTCATAAAGATGAGTAAGACTCTACTTGGTTGCCGACCTTCATGTCCCCTCACTCGCCGAGACACATGGCAAGGTTCATGCAAGGGGTGACGGCAGTACCTGAAAACGTAACGATGCATGGTAGTTCGTCACTTTAGACAATTTTTGTAATATCAACTCTAAGTGGGATAAACTCTACCGGAGCCACAAGGCTGAGCAGGCATGCTCGCTTGGGCTACAAGTCGCGTAACATTGTTGGCCATGTAGAACCGCTCCAAGGGGCTTCGCGTATGTTCGGACATGCGCTGTTTCGTGATGTTTTCCGAATTGACCACTGTCATTGAGGGCTGAAATCGGTGGGGGGAAATGAAGAAGTTGGGGAAAAGAAGAACGAAAGAAAGAGAGCTAGAAGGAAGGAAGGAAGCTATTCCCAAGCCGTGTTTGTTTTGGATTTAATCGTGGCTTCAGGTACAAACTGGCCCTGATTTGGGCATAAACATTCTATGGATATTCTATGAGGTCATCGGCTCGTGGAAATCTCGTGTATCAAATTAATCTCAGCTTCTAGAAATCAGATTAACTCATCTTCGGAAAATAGCTGCACAATCCTGGAATGGAATGAAACTCCTTCATTCCAATCTGGCGCAAATATGCGATCTCTTCAATCTCCTGGTTCGATACTATATCAAAATCTTCAAGTCAATCTTGATGTCTTCATCTTCTTCAAGTGGTCCACAGCGACCTTGTTAAGCGATTAACTAATGCACTCGATCCACCGTGTCAGACCATCAAGCATTTGATTCTAGCGTTATTCTTTCGCATTCTCCCTCTTTGGTCTTATTTTTTTTTTTTTTTTTT